GGTCTCTCTCTCTGGTCTCTCTCTGGTCTCTCTCTGGTCTCTCTCTGGTCTCTCTCTGGTCTCTCTCTCTGGTCTCTCTCTGGTCTCTCTCTGGTCTCTCTCTCTGGTCTCTCTCTGGTCTCTCTCTGGTCTCTCTCTGGTCTCTCTCTGGTCTCTCTCTCTGGCGTCTCTCTCTGGTCTCTCTCTCTGGTCTCTCTCTCTGGTCTCTCTCTCTGGTCTTCGAGCACTTTGTTGATGAGACGAGAACCGGAAAACCCCAAAGGAAACGAACCACAATCAGGAGTTGAACCAGTTTGGTCTTCTCTCTGGTCCTCACCTGGTACCGATCCCCGATGCAGCCGCAGACACCGGTCCACAGAGAAATCTCGTTTGTTAAACTTGTATTCTCTCTTAACCAGAACCATCAGCACACAGCAGACACTTAGCCTTAACCAGAACCATCAGCACACAGCAGACACTTAGCCTTAACCAGAACCATCAGCGCACAGCAGACACTTAGCCTTAACCAGAACCATCAACACACAGCAGACACTTAGCCTTAACCAGAACCATCAGCGCACAGCAGACACTTAGCCTTAACCAGAACCATCAACACACAGCAGACACTTAGCCTTAACCAGAACCATCAACACACAGCAGACACTTAGCCTTAACCAGAACCATCAACACACAGCAGACACTTAGCCTTAACCAGAACCATCAGCGCACAGCAGACACTTAGCCTTAACCAGAACCATCAACACACAGCAGACACTTAGCCTTAACCAGAACCATCAGCGCACAGCAGACACTTAGCCTTAACCAGAACCATCAACACACAGCAGACACTTAGCCTTAACCAGAACCATCAACACACAGCAGACACTTAGCCTTAACCAGAACCATCAGCGCACAGCAGACACTTAGCCTTAACCAGAACCATCAGCGCACAGCAGACACTTAGCCTTAACCAGAACCATCAACACACAGCAGACACTTAGCCTTAACCAGAACCATCAGCACACAGCAGACACTTAGCCTTAACCAGAACCATCAGCGCACAGCAGACACTTAGCCTTAACCAGAACCATCAACACACAGCAGACACTTAGCCTTAACCAGAACCATCAGCACACAGCAGACACTTAGCCTTAACCAGAACCATCAGCGCACAGCAGACACTTAGCCTTAACCAGAACCATCAACACACAGCAGACACTTAGCCTTAACCAGAACCATCAGCACACAGCAGACACTTAGCCTTAACCAGAACCATCAGCGCACAGCAGACACTTAGCCTTAACCAGAACCATCAACACACAGCAGACACTTAGCCTTAACCAGAACCATCAACACACAGCAGACACTTAGCCTTAACCAGAACCATCAGCACACAGCAGACACTTAGCCTTAACCAGAACCATCAGCGCACAGCAGACACTTAGCCTTAACCAGAACCATCAACACACAGCAGACAGCTCCACGGACACGGCTCCGAAAGGCTCCGCAGACCATGAGACTAAATTCTGTGACCATGAGACTAAATTCTGTGACCATGAGACTAAATTCTGTGACCATGAGACTAAACGCTGGTGTTTTGAGACGAGCAGAGAGGAAACCAGACGGAGATGTTAGAACGACCGTTTAGGAGAAACTGAGACATTAAGGAGCAGGTCGTCTTTTCATATACCGTTTACTTTCTTTATCGACAAACAATAACGACGACCAATCATCAAGAACCATATCTAATTATACTGTACTGTGCCCTGCATTCATGAAAGGACGGAAGATTAAACTAGTCTCTCCATGGTCTCTCTTTTTAATCTCTCTGGTCTCTCTCTGTTTTCTGTCTGGTCTCTCTCCGGTCTCTCTCTGGTCTCTCTCTGGTCTCTCTCTGGTCTCTCTCTGGTCTCTCTCTGGTCTCTCTCCGGTCTCTCTCTGGTCTCTCTCTGGTCTCTCTCTGGTCTCTCTCTGGTCTCTCTCTGGTCTCTCTCCGGTCTCTCTCTGGTCTCTCTCTGGTCTCTCTCTGGTCTCTCTCTGGTCTCTCTCTGGTCTCTCTCCGGTCTCTCTAAGGTCTCTCTCTGGTCTCTCTCTGGTCTCTCTCTGGTCTCTCTCTGGTCTCTCTCTGGTCTCTTTCTGGTCTCTCTCTGGTCTCTCTCAGTTTTCTCTCTTGTCTCTCTGGTCTCTTTCTGGTCTCTCTCTTCGATCTCTCTCTGGTCTCTCTCTGTTTTCTCTTTGGTCTCTCTCTGGTCTCTCTCTGGTCTCTCTCTGGTCTCTGTCTGGTCTCTGTCTGGTCGCTCTCTTGTCTCTCTCTGGTCTCTCTTTTGTTTCTCTTGTCTTTCTGGTCTCTCTCTGGTCTCTCTTTTTTCACTCTCTCTGCTCTTTCTTGTCTCTCTCAGGTCTCTCAAGTCTCTATGTTTTCTCTCTGGTCTCTCTCAGGTCTCTCTCTGGTCTCTCTCTGGTCTCTCTCTGGTCTCTCTCTGGTCTCTTCCTGGTCTCTCTTCCTTGTCTCACTCTGATCTCTCTCTCTAGTCACTTTACCTGTGCTGTATAAATAAACTTGACCTTGACCCACACTAAATACTGCTTTAACATGTTCTCTCTGGTTCGTTCTGGAGCCTGATGAGAGGAGAGTATTGAAGGCGTGGGCGGACTCCACCGTCTCAGTCTCGTTAAGTCTCGTTAAGTCGCAGAGATCTCACCGCGAGGGATTCGTCACCAAAACACCTTCTCACATGTCACCGTTTCCAAAAGACTTTCCAAACAACCGTCTCTCCGTCAAAGTCCTGTTTTTCTTTCCATCTGTTTCTAAACACCGGCAGTTTCAGCGTCAAGGTCACGTTAGTGCTGAGTCTCTCACATGTCGCCCCCTAGTGGACCTCACAGGTCGCTGCCAGAGCGGCCGTCACTGAGAGTCTGTGGCATGTTATACATCATTTCAAAGAGGATTTTAACAGGAAAACCACCACAGTATTTTTTCTGCCATAAACATTGAACCCTGAATGTAAAGAGTAATAATGAATAGTAAATATGGTTAAACCCAGTCCACAATTTATTTTTGTCTAGTTCTGTTTCTATCTCAGCAGGACTCAGATTGTTCAAATAAATATATGAAATAATATCAAACTCATGTTCAATAAAAGTCATGATTTGGTCCAAAGAGAGAGACCAGGGAGAGACCAGAGCGAGACTGGAGAGACCAGAGAGAGACCAGAGAGAGACTGGAGAGACCAGAGAGAGACCAGAGAGAGAGCATAGCGAGAGAGCAGAGAGAGAGACCAGAGAGACCAGAGAGACCAGAGAGAGACCAGAGAGACAGAGAGAGAGACCAGAGAGAGACCAGATAGACCAGAGAAAGACCAGAGAGACAGAGAGAGAGACCAGAGAGAGACCAGATAGACAAGAGAGACCAGAGAGAGACCAGAGAGACCAGAGAGAGACCAGAGAGAGAGCAGAGAGAACAGAGAGAGAACAGAGAGAGACCAGAGAGAACAGAGAGAGAACAGAAAGAGACCAGAGAGAGACCAGAGAGAACAGAGAGAGAACAGAAAGAGACCAGAGAGAGACCAGAGAGAGACTGGAGAGACCAGAGAGAGACCAGAGAGAGACCAGAGAGAGACTGGAGAGACCAGAGAGAGACCAGAGAGAGAGCATAGAGAGAGAGCAGAGAGAGAGACCAGAGAGAGACCAGAGAGACCAGAGAGAGGCCAGAGAGACAGAGAGAGAGAGACCAGATAGACAAGAGAGACCCGAGAGAGAGCAGAGAGAGAGACCAGAGAGAACAGAGAGAGACCAGAGAGAGAGCAGAGAGAGAGCAGAGAGAGAGACCAGAGAGAACAGAGAGAGACCACATGGAGAGAACAAAATATGAAAGTAAGACTCTTTGGACCAGTTGTGCTCCAAACACTGAAACACAGAATGAATCGCACGTTTCCGTCTGATTGATGAAATGGTCTCAGTCCAATCATCGCACTCAGCGCTCTCTCCTCAGCTGCAGCACTAATGTGTGGAATTTCCCACAGGACGCAGTTAAAAGGGAGATTACACAGACCCTGATCCAGAGACACAGAAGAGACACCTGTGAACTGAGATAATCCCAGAGACAGAGACAAACACTCATCTGGACCAAGGGGAGGGTCTGATCGGGGGGAGGGTCTGATCGGGGGGGGGGGGGGGGGGGGGGGGCTTTCAGCTGCATGAGTTTAGTCAGTCTGTTGTACTGCTGCGATGGGGAAAAACCAGTGTGGGCAGGTCCGGGCCATCCCTCCAAACTTTCATCTCAAACAAGGAGAAGACTGATCAGAGATGCAGCCAAGAGGCCCATGATCACTCTGGATGAACTGCAGATAACTACAGCTGAGGCTGCATCTCTGATCAGTCTTCTCCTTGTTTGAGATGAAAGTTTGGAGGGACGGCCGGGTCTTGGTAGATTTGCAGTGGTCTGATACTCCTTCCATTTCAATATAACTGCTTGCACAGTGCTCCTTGAGATGTTTAAAGCTTGGGAAATCTTTTTGTATCCAAATCCGGCTTTAAACTTCTCCACAACAGTATCTGGGACCTGCCTGGTGTGTTCCTTTGTCTTCATGGTTCTCTCTGCGCTTTAAACAGAACCCTGAGACTATCAAAGAGCAGGTGCATTTATACGGAGACTTGATTACACACAAGTGCATTCTATTTATCATCATCAGTCATTTAGGACAACATTGGATCATTCAAAGATCCTCACTGAACTTCTGGACTGAGTTTGCTGCACTGAAAGTAAAGGGGCCGAATAATATTGCACGCCCCACTTTTCAGTTTTTTATTTGTTAAAAAAGTTTAAATTATCCAACAAATTTCGTTCCACTTCACGATTGTGTCCCACTTGTTGTTGATTCATGACAAAAAACTAAAATTTTATATCTTTATGTTTGAAGCCTGAAATGTGGCGAAATGTTGAAAAGTTCAAGGGGGCCGAACACTTTCGCAAGGCACTGTACTTCCTGCGGCAGCTCAGGAAAGCCAAGCTGCCTGCACAGATGTTGGTGCAGTTCTACACGGCCATCATCGAGTCCATCCCCACCTCCTCCATCACCTCCTCCATCACCTCCTCCATCACCTCCTCCATCACCTCCTCCATCACCTCCTCCATCACCTCCTCATCACCTCCTCCATCACCTCCTCCATCACCTCCACATCACCTCCTCCATCACCTCCTCCATCACCTCCTCCATCACCTCCTCATCACCTCCTCCATCACCTCCTCCATCACCTCCTCCATCTCCTCCTCATCACCTCCTCCATCACCTCCTCCATCACCTCCTCCATCACCTCCTCATCACCTCCTCCATCACCCCCCATCACACCCCTCATCACCTCCTCCATCACCTCCTCCATCACCTCCTCCATCACCTCCTCCATCACCTCCTCATCACCTCCTCCATCACCTCCTCATCACCTCCTCCATCACCTCCTCATCACCTCCTCCATCACCTCCTCATCACCTCCTCCATCACCTCCTCCATCACCTCCTCCATCACCCTCCTCATCACCTCCTCCATCACCCCCTCCATCACCTCCTCCATCACCATCACCTCCTCCATCACCTCCTCCATCACCTCCTCCATCACCTCCTCATCACCTCCTCCATCACCTCCTCATCACCTCCTCCATCACCTCCTCCATCACCTCCTCCATCACCTCCTCCATCACCTCCTCCATCACCTCCTCCATCACCGTGTGGTTTGCTGGAGCCACAGTCAGGGACAAACAGAGACTACAGTGCATTGTGCGCTCTGCAGAGGAAGTGATCGGCCGCAGCCTTCCATCGCTGCAGGACCTGTACGTCGCCCGAGCTCGAGGCCGGGCTGGTCGTATCACAGCCGACCCCTCTCACCTGCACATGGACTATTCCAACCACTCCCCTCTCACCTGCACATGGACTATTCCAACCACTCCCCTCTCACCTGCACATGGACTATTCCAACCACTCCCCTCTCACCTGCACATGGACTATTCCAACCACTCCCCTCTCACCTGCACATGGACTATTCCAACCACTCCCCTCTCACCTGCACATGGACTATTCCAACCACTCCCCTTTCACCTGCACATGGACTATTCCAACCACTCCCCTCTCACCTGCACATGGACTATTCCAACCACTCCCCTCTCACCTGCACATGGACTATTCCAACCACTCCCCTCTCACCCTGCACATGGACTATTCCAACCACTCCCCTCTCACCTGCACATGGACTATTCCAACCACTCCCCTCTCACCTGCACATGGACTATTCCAACCACTCCCCTCTCACCCTGCACATGGACTATTCCAACCACTCCCCTCTCACCTGCACATGGACTATTCCAACCACTCCCCTCAGGCAGGAGGCTGTGGTCCATCAGGACTAGAACCTCCTGCCACAAGAACAGTTTCTTCCCCTCTGCTGTTGGACTCTTGAACACTTCTTAACCTGTCCCCCCGCCCTTTATAAAGTCACTTTACTGCCCATCATACGTCACTTTACTTCACTGTACTGCTGTCACCTTACATTGTGTGCACCATGTGCACTTGTATATTGTAAATAGTAACTGTAACTCTATTTTAAATTTAAATTTATTCTTTAGAAGTGTTTTTATTCTTTATTTTTATAATCTCTTTTTGACTGTTGCACTGAGCCAAAGCAATTTCCAAGTCTGTGACTTCCTGTTACTTACGTGGCAATAAAAATGATTCTGATTCTGATAACCGTACTTCTGCACTGCTGAACACGTTAGCAGCACTTGTTTACAGTCACAGGAGAATGGCCACTCAGAGTGAAGACTTATGTTCACAAGCACTGACCCCAATGTCAGCTCTGGTTCAGTCCTGGTTCAGTCCTGGTTCAGCCCTGGTTCAGTCCTGGTTCAGTCCTGGTTCAGTCCTGGTTCAGTCCTAATTCACTACTACTACTACTACTACTACTACTACTACTGCTGCTATTACTACTGCTACTTCTATTACTACTGCTACTACTACTACTACTGCTACTTCTACTGCTACTACTACTACTACTGCTACTTCTACTGCTACTACTACTATTACTGCTACTTCTACAACTACTTCTACTGCTGCTACTGCTGCTACTGCTACTACTACTACTGCTACTACTACTACTACTACTACTGCTACTTCTACAACTACTTCTACTGCTACTGCTACAACTACAACTACTACTACTTCTACTTCTACTACTGCTACCACCACAGACCACAGCCGTCTGTAGAATAACAACTGCAGAACTTACAGACTTCACTTCTGCCTGTTGCTCTTTCACACATCATGGACGTCTGTATCTTGTCGCTAAAGTCTGAAATAAACAAATAAACTGAACTCACGGTAACGACAGAAAAGTAAAGAACTAAGAATTGCGGTCGGAGACAAAGCTACTGCTCGGAAATAACAATTAATTTGAGGTTTAAACTCGAGGCTCAGCAGAAAGCTCTCCACAGTCTGTCTTTTTACTAACCTCACTCTGTCGCCAAAGCTCGGATTCTGAACCAAAAAGTCAACCCAAGACATTGGTTTTTGCCTCTGTTGTCATGGGTTCACTTAAAGCTTGAACTTTACACTGTGCAGCCATCTCTCTCAGCTCAGACGAATCAAACATGGATGATTGTAGGTCTGAGCGCTGCTGCAGCTGTCAAAAGCCGAGCGTACAGGTATACGGTCAAATACAGCTGCAGAGGACGCTGAGGAGCAGGACTGAGGGGCAGAGAGAGAGCAGAGAGAGAGAGCAGAGAGAGAGCAGAGAGAGAGAGACCAGAGAGAGAGAGACCAGAGAGAGACCAGAGAGAGAGAGACCAGAGAGAGAGAGAGAACAGAGAGAGAGCAGAGAGAGAGCAGAGAGAGAGAGACCAGAGAGAGAGAGAGAACAGAGAGAGACCAGAGAGAGACCAGAGAGAGAGAGACCAGAGAGAGAACAGAGAGAGAGCAGAGAGAGAGCAGAGAGAGAGAGAGAACAGAGAGAGACCAGAGAGAGACCAGAGAGAGAGAGACCAGAGAGGGAGCAGAGAGAGACCAGAGAGGGAGCAGAGAGAGAGAGAGACCAGAGAGAGACCAGAGAGAGACCAGAGAGGGAGCAGAGAGAGACCAGAGAGAGACCAGAGAGGGAGCAGAGAGAGACCAGAGAGGGAGCAGAGAGACAGGGGAGAGACCAGAGAGGGCAGAAAGAGAGCAGAGAGAGCGACCAGAGAGAGAGACCAGAGAGAGAGACCAGAGAGACCAGAGAGAGATCAGAAAGAGAGCAAAGAGAGACTAGAAAGAGAGAACAGAAAGAGATCAAAGACACCATAGAGAGAGACCAGAGAGAGACCAGAGAGGGAGCAGAGAGACAGGGGAGAGACCAGAGAGGGCAGAAAGAGAGCAGAGAGAGAGACCAGAGAGAGACCAGAGAGAGACCAAAGAGAGACCAGAGATGGAGACCAGAGATGGAGACCAGAGATGGAGATCAGAGAGAGACCAGAGAGAAAGACCAGAGAGAGAGACCAGAGAGAGACCAGAGAGAGAGAGACCAGAGAGAGACCAGAGAGAGACCAGAGAGGGAGCAGAGAGACAGGGGAGAGACCAGAGAGAGATCAGAAAGAGAGCAGAGAGAGACTAGAGAGAGAGACCAGAGAGAGGAGAGCAGAGGATGTAGCCATAATCAATCGGAGCGAGTTGGAGCCAAACTTCACCATGAGCACTTCCCTATAAGGTCTCTGTATACAGCCTATCTGTGTGGCGTTACCGTGACGATGAGGCCGCGCTCCTGGAAGTACTTGACGAGCGGGATGGTGTTCTGTTTGAAGTTGGTGAGGCGGCGGTCGATGGCTTTGGGGTTATCGTCAGGACGACCCTGCTGCTCGGCTCGCTTCTGCAGACGCTCCTTCAGATGGTGGTTCGTGCAGGCCAGGAACACCACCAGGTCTGGGCTGCAGATCTGACACACACACACAGAGTCTGTAAATGGACGGTCACACACACACACACACACATCAAGACACACACACACACACACACAGAGGCTGTGAATGGACGGTCACACACACATCAAGACACACACACACACACACCACTACACACACACAGATGCTGTGAATGTACGGCCACACACACACACACATCAAGACACACACCAGTGCACACACACACACACACACACACACACACACACCTAGACCTACACACACACACAGTGCAGTCTGTGGTCCCAGCTGGATTCGTCTGCATATCTGGCAACCTGAGTCAGGGAGAGTGGGAGAGGCTGCAGTACCACTTTTGGCCACATGTTTACACACTGCTGTTTAAAGGACAACTCACCCTCAAATCCACTTTGATAAACGCTGATAAACGGTATAAATGAGTGTCCAATAGTGTTGTCTACATATCCTGGTCATAATTTTGTCACTTTGGTGCAAATTAGTTGAAAGTTAAACTTTCTGCCTAAAACCGTCTGTGAGGCGCCATCTGCTGGCGACCTGTATTACTACATTTGAATTTTGAATCTGGCGCCAACACTGGCGCGGCAGCAAGACCTGACGTCTGAAGCAAGACCTGACGTCTGAAGCAAGACCTGACGTCTGAAGCAAGACCTGACGTCTGAAGCAAGACCTGACGTCTGAACCAAGACCTGACGTCTGAACCAAGACCTGACGTCTGAAGCAAGACCTGACGTCTGAAGCAAGACCTGACGTCTGAAGCAAGACCTGACGTCTGAAGCAAGACCTGACGTCTGAAGCAAGACCTGACATCTGAAGCAAGACCTGACGTCTGAAGCAAGACCTGACGTCTGAAGCAAGACCTGACGTCTGAAGCAAGACCTGACGTCTGAAGCAAGACCTGACGTCTGAAGCAAGACCTGACGTCTGAAGCAAGACCTGACATCTGAAGCAAGACCTGACGTCTGAAGCAAGACCTGACGTCTGAAGCAAGACCTGACGTCTCAAGCAAGACCTGACGTCTGAAGCAAGACCTGACGTCTGAAGCAAGACCTGACGTCTGAAGCAAGACCTGACGTCTGAAGCAAGACCTGACGTCTGAAGCAAGACCTGACGTCTGAAGCAAGACCTGACGTCTGAAGCAAGACCTGACGTCTGAAGCAAGACCTGACATCTGAAGCAAGACCTGACGTCTGAAGCAAGACCTGACGTCTGAAGCAAGACCTGAGGTCTGAAGCAAGACCTGACGTCTGAAGCAAGACCTGACGTCTGAAGCAAGACCTGACGTCTGAAGCAAGACCTGACATCTGAAGCAAGACCTGACGTCTGAAGCAAGACCTGACGTCTGAAGCAAGACCTGACGTCTGAAGCAAGACCTGACGTCTGAAGCAAGACCTGACGTCTGAAGCAAGACCTGACGTCTGAAGCAAGACCTGACATCTGAAGCAAGACCTGACGTCTGAAGCAAGACCTGACATCTGAAGCAAGACCTGACGTCTCAAGCAAGACCTGACGTCTGAAGCAAGACCTGACGTCTGAAGCAAGACCTGACGTCTGAAGCAAGACCTGACGTCTGAAGCAAGACCTGACGTCTGAAGCAAGACCTGACGTCTGAAGCAAGACCTGACGTCTGAAGCAAGACCTGACGTCTGAAGCAAGACCTGACGTCTGAAGCAAGACCTGACGTCTGAAGCAAGACCTGACGTCTGAAGCAAGACCTGACGTCTGAAGCAAGACCTGACGTCTGAAGCAAGACCTGACGTCTGAACCAAGACCTGACGTCTGAACCAAGACCTGACGTCTGAAGCAAGACCTGACATCTGAAGCAAGACCTGACGTCTGAAGCAAGACCTGACGTCTGAAGCAAGACCTGACGTCTGAAGCAAGACCTGACGTCTGAACCAAGACCTGACGTCTGAAGCAAGACCTGACATCTGAAGCAAGACCTGACGTCTGAAGCAAGACCTGACGTCTGAAGCAAGACCTGACGTCTGAAGCAAGACCTGACGTCAGCAGCAAGACCTGACGTCTGAAGCAAGACCTGACGTCTGAAGCAAGACCTGACGTCAGCAGCCCCCCGCCCAGAGCTATATAAACGGCCCAGTCTCGTTCACGCCCCCTTTAGTCCTCCAGGCCACGCCCATTTAGAGGAAGATTTGAACAGGAAATGTGAGTGACGTAAGCTCCGAGGAGCGGGGGTGAGAACCACTTTAACCTTCAGACATCAAAGACAAACTTCCACGCGACTCTTGACTGCATGAAGCTGCGGCTGCATGAGACCACATTAAAACCTGTTCAAACCACATTAACTTAAGCACGTAGCACTTTAGACAGAAAACCAGAGACTCATCATCACCGTTTAAAACTGAGGAAGCACCGTTTGTTACTCCAACCTCTGAGATCCAGCATGGTCTGGACCGGCTCCACTGCAGACCTGTGCTAGGACTCATCTGAGCAGAATCTGAGAGTCTGTGGGACAGTTAGAAGGACTGTGGTGACTGCTAACCACTCTGCCACTGCTAACCACTCAGCCACTGCTAACCACTCTGCCACTGCTAACCACTCTGCCACTGCTAACCACTCTGCCACTGCTAACCACTCTGCCACTGCTAACCACTCAGCCACCGCTAACCACTCAGCCACCGCTAACCACTCTGCCACTGCTAACCACTCAGCCACTGCTAACCACTCAGCCACCGCTAACCACTCACTCCAGCCACGCTAACCACTCCTGCCCCACCGCTAACTCACTCAGCCACCGCTAACCACTCTGCTGAACCACCACTCGCACCTAACCATCACTGCAACCCCACCCGAACCAACTCAGCGTAACCACTCAGTCACCGCTAACCACTCAGCTACTGCTAACCACTCAGCTACTGCTAACCACTCAGCTACTGCTAACCACTCAGCCACTGCTAACCACTCAGTCACCGCTAACCACTCAGCTACTGCTAACCACTCTGCCACCGCTAACCACTCAGCCACTGCTAACCACTCTGCCACTGCTAACCACTCTGCCACTGCTAACCACTCAGCCACTGCTAACCACTCTGCCACTGCTAACCACTCTGCCACTGCTAACCACTCTGCCACTGCTAACCACTCTGCCACCGCTAACCACTCAGCTACTGCTAACCACTCTGCCACTGCTAACCACTCTGCCACCGCTAACCACTCAGCCACCGCTAACCACTCTGCCACCGCTAACCACTCAGCCACTGCTAACCACTCTGCCACCGCTAACCACTCAGCCACTGCTAACCACTCTGCCACTGCTAACCACTCAGCCACTGCTAACCACTCAGCCACCGCTAACCACTCTGCCACTGCTAACCACTCTGCCACCGCTAACCACTCAGCCACCGCTAACCACTCTGCCACTGCTAACCACTCTGCCACTGCTAACCACTCTGCCACTGCTAACCACTCAGCCACTGCTAACCACTCAGCCACCGCTAACCACTCTGCCACTGCTAACCACTCTGCCACCGCTAACCACTCAGCCACCGCTAACCACTCAGCCACTGCTAACCACTCAGCCACTGCTAACCACTCAGCCACCGCTAACCACTCTGCCACTGCTAACCACTCAGCCACTGCTAACCACTCAGTCACCGCTAACCACTCTGCCACTGCTAACCACTCTGCCACTGCTAACCACTCAGCCACTGCTAACCACTCTGCCACTGCTAACCACTCTGCCACTGCTAACCACTCAGCCACTGCTAACCACTCTGCCACTGCTAACCACTCTGCCACTGCTAACCACTCTGCCACTGCTAACCACTCAGCCACTGCTAACCACTCAGCCACCGCTAACCACTCAGCCACCGCTAACCACTCAGCTACTGCTAACCACTCTGCCACTGCTAACCACTCAGCCACTGCTAACCACTCAGTCACCGCTAACCACTCAGCTACTGCTAACCACTCAGCTACTGCTAACCACTCAGCCACTGCTAACCACTCAGCCACTGCTAACCACTCAGTCACCGCTAACCACTCAGCTACTGCTAACCACTCTGCCACCGCTAACCACTCAGCCACTGCTAACCACTCTGCCACTGCTAACCACTCTGCCACTGCTAACCACTCTGCCACTGCTAACCACTCTGCCACTGCTAACCACTCTGCCACTGCTAACCACTCAGCCACCGCTAACCACTCAGCCACTGCTAACCACTCAGTCACCGCTAACCACTCAGCTACTGCTAACCACTCTGCCACCGCTAACCACTCAGCCACTGCTAACCACTCTGCCACTGCTAACCACTCTGCCACTGCTAACCACTCTGCCACTGCTAACCACTCAGCCACTGCTAACCACTCAGCCACCGCTAACCACTCAGCCACCGCTAACCACTCTGCCACTGCTAACCACTCTGCCACTGCTAACCACTCAGCTACTGCTAACCACTCTGCCACTGCTAACCACTCTGCCACTGCTAACCACTCTGCCACCGCTAACCACTCAGTCACCGCTAACCACTCAGCCACTGCTAACCACTCAGTCACCGCTAACCACTCAGCTACTGCTAACCACTCAGCCACCGCTAACCACTCTGCCACCGCTAACCACTCTGCCACTGCTAACCACTCTGCCGGTGCTAACCACTCTGCCACTGCTAACCACTCTGCCACTGCTAACCACTCAGCCACCGCTAACCACTCAGCCACCGCTAACCACTCAGCCACCGCTAACCACTCAGCCACCGCTAACCACTCAGCCACCGCTAACCACTCAGCTACTGCTAACCACTCTGCCACTGCTAACCACTCTGCCACTGCTAACCACTCTGCCACTGCTAACCACTCAGTCACCGCTAACCACTCAGCTACTGCTAACCACTCTGCCACCGCTAACCACTCTGCCACTGCTAACCACTCTGCCACTGCTAACCACTCTGCCACTGCTAACCACTCTGCCACTGCTAACCACTCTGCCACTGCTAACCACTCTGCCACTGCTAACCACTCAGCCACCGCTAACCACTCAGCCACCGCTAACCACTCAGCCACCGCTAACCACTCTGTCACCGCTAACCACTCTGCCACTGCTAACCACTCAGCTACTGCTAACCACTCAGCCACTGCTAACCACTCAGTCCCCGCTAACCACTCTGCCACTGCTAACCACTCTGCCACTGCTAACCACTCTGCCACTGCCACTGCTAACCACTCTGCCACCGCTAACCACTCTGCCACCGCTAACCACTCAGCCACCGCTAACCACTCTGCCACTGCTAACCACTCAGCCACTGCTAACCACTCAGCCATCGCTAACCACTCTGTCACCGCTAACCACTCTGCCACTGCTAACCACTCTGCCACTGCTAACCACTCAGCCACCGCTAACCACTCTGCTACTGCTAACCACTCTGCCACTGCTAACCACTCTGCCACCGCTAACCACTCAGCCACTGCTAACCACTCTGCCACCGCTAACCACTCTGCCACTGCTAACCACTCAGCCACTGCTAACCACTCAGCCACCGCTAACCACTCAGCCACCGCTAACCACTCTGCCACTGCTAACCACTCAGCCACCGCTAACCACTCTGCCACCGCTAACCACTCTGCCACTGCTAACCACTCAGCCATCGCTAACCACTCTGCCATCGCTAACCACTCTGCTACTGCTAACCACTCTGCCACTGCTAACCACTCTGCCACTGCTAACCACTCAGCCACCGCTAACCACTCTGCCACCGCTAACCACTCTGCCACTGCTAACCACTCAGCCACTGCTAACCACTCAGCCACCGCTAACCACTCTGCCACTGCTAACCACTCAGCCACCGCTAACCACT